TGAGACCAGGACTGTCCAGCGGTCTGAGACCAGGGTCCTTCGTTGCCAGCCTGGTGACTCCAGCGGGTTTCCCTGCCGAAGCCCTGAGGGCCAGCAGCTCTGAGTGCTGCAGTGCTCCCGGTGTCTTCAGTCAGGGGGCGGTGATTCCCAGGGCCGAGCGCAGGGGCCCAGTCCAGTCAAACAGAGACCTGCCCTCAGTGTCAGTGAAGGTGTTAGCGTCTTGAGTGGGGCTAAAGACACGGGTCAGAACCAAACTGGACAGGGCAAGTCCAGCACGTCCGGACCGGAACCCGGGGCAGAGGTGAAGAGCAGCAGCACTAGTCTGCCAGGCCAGGAGGGAAACAGACATTTTAATGTTCCTCCTGGGCTGAAATTCCTCTCTTGGCAAGATGTTTTACAATAGCTACGTCGACCCGGATCACACTTGCATCGGAGTGAAGTAGCAGCTGGCGAAACCGCAGATAAGAGCAGGAACGGAGCCCGCAAAGCTCGCTCGTCCGCGGACCAGGTAGCCTTACTGCCCGGAGTTGCCCCGTGTGTCTTCGATTTAACACTCTCAGAGCAATATGCTGTTTAAAAATAAAAACCCTGAGTCCTAAATGTAACGGATAAACTAATTTCTTAATTGGCAAGACGCGCGCACACGACGAACATTTGTCTTTTGATCGTTGCTCTTCATCTCGACGGCCGCACCTGGTCCCGGCTTCTGAAGAAGGAAACATCAAAAGAGATGACCGTGCGGAGCAAGTCAGGAGTGAGCCAGCCCAGCCCCCCCTCTCGCCGCCCCCCTCACCTCGCGTGCCCATATTTGGCAGGACACGGGCTCAGCCGCTCGCGGCAGCCGTCAGGAACAGCCGCGGCTCCGAGCGGCGCGCGGGCTTTCTGGAGCGCTCCTGGGGACCCCCGCTTAGAGGAGCAGAGGGGCGCCGCCCTATTTCTGCGCTGGTGAGTTTCCTTGGCTGGGTTCACTGGTTATGCCATTTCGCTCCAGTCTCTTAAAGGTAGTCTCACGCCAGGCAGTGTTGCGTCGGCGTCGGGTCCAGCAGGTGTGCGTCTCAGCTGAGGAAAGGCGCCTGCTGTCTCGGCATATTTAACGAGAAGGGCATCCGCTTGGTTTAAGGGAGCGCATGATAGGTGAAGAAATGTAATTTTATTATTGTGAAACTTTCCGATAGCTAATATTATTTCAGAACTAAAATTCTCTAAGACGAATAGTCTTGCTCATTGAGATAGTCTTGCTCATTTTACCGTGAATATATGTTCTTTTTTTATCATTAAAGAGTTCGATAGTAAACTTAATTGACTTTTCAGGCTTCCTCGCTTATTTTCTGCGTGTGTCGGGCTCGCTATTACACCGGGAAATGGAGACGGAAGAGCGAGCACGCCAGCTCAATACGTTCTGCACGACATCCGCTTAGTTGCGTTCTTTCCAGAATCATGTAGTTCTCTTACAGTGAAATACCCGCATCGCTTCTATTCCAGCACCGCCTATCGACCTGCTGGACAGAGCCCTGTGGTTCAGGGGCAGGTCTCCGGATGTGTCCACGCGTGCATGGCCGGGAATCGGATTTCAGTGTCCATACACGTGTGTTTAATTTAATCAGGGGGATCCCCCGGGCTGGCCAGGGCAGCTGGGAGATCCCCGCGAGCAGGTGTGGTGTGTTCCCCTTGCCTCTGTGTCAGAGTGACGAAACCCGGGGCTGCTCGGCGAGGCCCTTGTGAGGCTGGAGGGGCCCCGGGGCCCCGGGACCCCGGCGCACTCTGATCATTCACCTTGCAGTTACAGTGCAGCCGAAAGAGCTGGCGAAAGTGGAAGTCCACTGATCTCCAGGTGGCACAGACACCTACTCCACGGCCTCTCCAGGTGGCACAGACTCCTACTCCACGGCCTCTCCAGGTGGCACAGACTCCTACTCCACGGCCTCTCCAGGTGGCACAGACTCCTACTCCACGGCCTCTCCGGGTGGCACAGACACCTCTGTCAGCTGCCAGAGTCCGGGAGACGGCTCCACCTGCCCAGGACAGCGGCAGCACAGGTAGCAGGAGTCCTCCAGCTGGGGCAGGGGGAGGGCATCCCAGCACGCCTGGGCAGGGAGAGGAGAGGCCGCAGGGTCACAGAGTGGGGCCGGAAGACCAGCTCCAGATATGGCACGATATGCCCGGGAAAGGCCAGTAAATGATAAGATCAGAGACATCAGGAAGAATTATGATCACACCACTCTGAAAGAGGCGCTCAGTTAAAACTGTTGTGCATCTATTTCTATGGAAACAGCCAGCCTCCTCCCCCCTTCCTGGCTTTGATTGTGTCGCGGCGCCTGCATCAGTAATTCCAGTTTCTCTCACAGGTTCTTCCAGGGAGCGAGGGAGACCAGGGCCGGCGCTCCTGGGAAGAGGGGTTATGGACACAGCCTGCTGAAGGGCTCAGGGCGACAAGCCACTGCCTGCTCGCCCCTTGTACCTGGACCAAGACAACCCACTCAGGGACCAGAACTGTTGAGTGAACCACAGCAGCCTCTACAGCAGCAGTGTGTTTCTATTCAATCTCCTAATTCTGTTCTGTCCCACTGGGACCTTTCCAAAATAGTCCATATCCCTTATTGAATCCCACACTGCACCACGACCGCCAGGCCTTAGTCATCCCGAGACACAGGCCACTCGTGAGGGTTCCCTCTTGCAGCCCCGGATCAGGATCAGGATCAGGATCAGGACAATTTCCTGTCCCAATGAAAACAGCAGCAGAACTGTCTTGACGTCCCAATGCCAGTGTGACTACTGGCTCGGCCCACTTGTTATTGCACACTTTCAACTGGAGGACATTTGACCTGTTGACCGCAGATTCTCCTGGGACGGGTTAAGAGATTAAACTCAATTAGTGGTGAAGATACAGTACCGGGCTTTTTCTGGCCTGGTCATCAACAGAAACTGTTTCTCTAAGCTAATTCTGCTTGAGGAATGGGTGTCTGTAAGAAGAGTTTGGATTGCAGGCCAGGGCTTCAGGAAAACAACACAGCTCTCCGTGAGTGCTGACAGAGTTTCTCTTGTAATAAGACCTGAATTTAGGACTTCCTGCAAAAACTCTGGCTCAGTCTGTGTACAGTATGCTCAGTGACAGAGATGGTAAATGCCTGCGTATCTGTTTAGTTCTCAAATCTGAGAGTTTGTTCTCCTGAAGGAGACATCTGAGGAAGGACCAGAGCTCAGAGAGAGCTGCAGTGTTTCTCTCCCTGTCTCTCGGACTGCCTTGGGTCCCCTGCAGGACTAATTGAATTCATGGCTGGAGAGGTGGCCGCCCTGCACTGGAGTCCCTGCTTCTGTTCCGCCGCGGCGGCCCGGCTTCGTGGGACAGAAACGGCCACGGAGAGAGACGAGGACACGAGGACCAGTCCCCTCCGGCTCGTCCACAGCGCTGGCGAAGCACAGCGTTAGACTGCCAGAGAGCTTTGCCTTGAATGTCTGATTTTTCATCCTTCTGTCCCCCAACTCAGTGCAGTAAAGCCCCTAACGTCCTCAACAGTTTGAGATTCACCTGTCCATACTGCAAGTCAGGAGAGGGTATAGTGCCGAAGACAGTTAATTCACTTGCTCAGCAAGGGACAGAGATTTCTCTTGTCAGATAATTGCCTTTAATTGCAAAGAGGCTCAGAGTAATTGAGTAAATCAGTGGCTAATTGAGTAAGTTGAGAATGGACAGATTGACATTAGCAAGAGTCTTAGGCTGCTCGGTGGACTTATTTGCAAATCTAAAGCCACAGACTGTGCCTTTTGTGTGTGCTGCCACCTGACTGTGGGCAGCTTTCCCACAACCTCAGCTGTACTGAATTGCCCGATAATAAACTCTCAGCACGGGTTGGCAATTACTTTTTAAACAAAGCAGGTTGCCTTTCTCTTTAACTGAAACACCACTTTAAATTGCTGAAATTCAAAATCTTCCCCTTTCCCACAAGTTTAAGCAGTGCTTTTGCAGCTCATGTTGCTCAGGAGAGGGCCCCCGTGAGGCGGGGCCGATATCCCCGCGCACGCGAGGATGGCGAGGCGGGCCGACGAGGGCTGCCGCGCCGCGCTGCGCCTGAACGAGGACAACGCCCGCTTCGGCCTCCTGGCGGCGCTCATCCTGCTGTACCTGCTGGCCGGCGCGGCCGTGTTCTCCGCGCTGGAGCAGCCGGCCGAGCTGCGCGCCCGGCGCCTCTGGAGCGAGCGGCTGCACGGCTTCACGCAGGCGCACAACGTCAGCGCGGCCGCCCTGCGCGCGCTGCTCCGCCACTACGAGGAGGCCAACGCCGCGGGCATCCGCGTGGACCGCCTGCGGCCGCGATGGGACTTCTCCGGCGCCTTCTACTTCGTGGGCACGGTGGTCTCCACCATCGGTGAGTCTCCGCAGAGTCTGTCCGGTCTCCGACAGGGTCCCTGTGCTCAGCACGCAGGCACCAGCCAGAGGACACCGGCGAGAACCATGTCCAGGTGCACCTAAAACCCAGAACAGGCCCTTCTTTACACAGAGGCTGGTGGGAGTGTGGAACAAGCTATTCAGTGGGGGGTATGGGGGCAGAGCGGTGGCACTGTGGCTGGAAGGTTGCCGGTTCAAATCCCGCGGACGCCAGAGGAATCCTACTCCACTGGGCCCCTGAGCAAGGCCCTTAACCCCAGCTGCTCCAGGGGTGCCATATAAATGGCTGACCCTGCGCCCTGACCCCCAGCTTCTCTCCCTGTCTGTGTGTCTCATGGAGAGCAAGCTGGGGTCTGCAAAAAGAGGAATTCCTAATGCAAGAAATTGTATAGGCCTCATAAAGTGATCTTATCTTATACCCTGGCTTCTTTCAAGAAACACCTGGAGCAGATCCTGGGATCAATTAACTACAAACCTCCAAATGGCTGAATGGGCCAGCTGCCCTGCTCGTGTTTGTAACTGTAATTATAATCTTTGAAGCACGTCTTCTATGATCGCCAAGTTAAACATCAGTATTGAATTTCTGTAAAACCACAGTCAAGGATCGACAGCACTGAAACCGTGCTGAAAGCCGAGATTAATTTCTGGCTAATGAGAGCTCTATTGCTGCCTCATACAGAGGGGAGGGGTGTGCACAGTGTATTGTTTTCAGGAAGTAATCTGAGGTCCATTTTCATGTGGAGGGATATAACCTAGCAAGCAGAACTGTCGATTGTGAACCGTGTGGTTTTAGCGTTAAAGCACCAGTAAAGGGGTCTTAATGGTTTCTCATTTGCTTTCAATCTGGTTAGAGGATGATTGTGAGGAGGAGTGTGGGTTGAGCTCTGAGGCCCAGGCGACATGTATTCAAGCTTGAACTGGGTTGGCTCGGTTCTGTTACAGTTCTGTACAACAGGGATTCCCCAAGCAGTGGTGCACAGCTGGCTGTAGAGCTGGGTGAGTTCGCTGGCAGTCAGGGCAACAGCGGCTCTGTGACTGGACACTGCACTCCTGCGGTCAGCGCTCACTCCCCTGGCCAGGGCTGAAAACATACAGCAATAATATTCCAACACAGGTCGGTTTGTTTTCTTCGAGGGAAACTGTCTGTCTTGATTTTCGGCAGGAGGCACCTGAGCTCCTGTCAGCAGAAAGTGAGCCAATAAATTCTGGGCTTCAGCCCAAAAGCAACAAAACAATGAGAGTAATGAGAGATTTACTCCAGGACTGGAGATGAAAGGCTGTGGTGTGAAAAAGTGCTCGCGCATGACCTCAGCCTGATCTGTCACTGACAGCAGCGGAGGCAGATGTGAGGCCCTGGGGCTGCGGGCCAGGGCTGGGGCTGGCTGTCAAGCCTGCGCAGGGAGCGTGTGGGAAGGAAGCCCAGCCAGTGAGACAGGGTCTGGTCGGGCGAAGGAGCAAAGCACAGGGAAATGAGCTGGCGTCCTGGGTGGAAACAGCGGGATTGAGCACGTGGGGGAGCTGTTGAACCCGCAGCTTGATCTGGTGTGTGCGGAAGCAGCACTCTGGGATTCTACACTGTAGGCCAAGAAAGAAGCAGGTGCAGACAGCTGGGGGCACAGCTGTTGTGTAAGAACAGAAGAAGGAACATAAGAGAGGGTAGAGAGGAGAGGCCTGTTGGGAATCTGGTAGCTTAAAATAAGATCAGATCACTTTATTGGCCATATACAATTTCTTGCATTAGGAATTTCGCATGTCTTTTCACATACTGTACCCCTGCTTGATCTCCATGAGACACACAGACAGGGAGAGAGAAGCTGGGGGTCAGAGTGCAGGGTCAGCCATTGTACAGCGCCCCTGGAGCTGCTGGGGTGAAGGGCCTTGCTCAGGGGCCCAGCAGAGTAGGATTCCTCTACCAGCCTGTGGTTATTGACCCAATGATCTAAATTTAACTATTTATTAATCTGAAGACACCTGAAGAAAGTTGTGTTTTTCTTCTCTTTTCAACATGGAGTAAAGCTTTACTTGTTCCTAAATTTAACTATTGAAAGAAACCAGGGTATCGGCTTCAACAACACGGCTGGGTAGCTTGTTCCATGCTCCTACAATCCTTTGTGTGCAGAACTGCCTCCAGTTCTCAGAGTTAAATGCACTTTCACATTTTTTTCACTTGAGTCCTGTGGTTCATGTCTTACTGTTGATACTGATGAAGTTCACTGGACCGACTTTGTCAATGACCGATGATTTTGAATACTAGTATCTACAGTTTTAATAAATTAATGGGTGTCGATGCTGAAATGAAGACAGGACGTCACCTTGGCACCTTGTACAAAAAAGATGCCCTGTCAGACAGCCCAGTGAGCTCTTCCATGGCGACGGGGGGAGGGCAGGCGTCTTGTCCAAGGCCATGGTGAGACACACATACCATTAACGTTAATGTATTCATTAATCTGAGCCGAGAGGCACACAGAGAGTAAGATAATATCCCTGTTTCCAATTCAAGCCCTATTAAGTGCACAATAGAGATGTTCAGCTATAATCACGCGTCTCTGTGCGAGTCACTTCATCGTCTTCTCCTTTTTTTTTCCATTTTCATTTAAAATGCAGCACACTCCGAAGGGAACCACACTCCACTAGGCCAGAATAATTAATTAATTGGCTTAATTAGCTGTTCCTACAGCCTGTTTCACCAGCGGGCCGGTTTTACAGACCTGGGACTCTGTTGCATGTTGAGGTTTACTACAGTAAGAGCAGACGAGAGTGTAGTAAGGCCCAGTGACATCATTGTGCTCCATTATATCTTCCAATAAAACCATAAAAAATCATCCCACTTGCATATGCAAGACTCACATTTAATTGTGGGCAAGCTACAGGAACAAAACGTTTACATTTTGAGCTAAGTAAATCCATGCTATAAGCTTGGTGGAGCCATTTTAAAAGTGCTGTGGCATACTGCCACAAGGAAGCCAACTATGCTGTTCGAGGTGGAGCCAGAGCTGAAATGTTCCGGACAGTTCCTCACCCGGACGCGCGTGTCCTGACGTGCTCGCGGTGAGCGCAGGCGCGCTGTTGGATTTCAATATCCGGAGGCCTCGGTTTCCTGCAGCAGAGGCCATAAACCTCGGGCAGCCACTGGGTTTGCTCTTTATGGCCTAGATTAGCCATATGTTCACCTCCTAATCACCGTAGAAACCACAGAACTGATTAATTTCCTTATTGAACACAGGTATGAAAATACAGGTACAGCAGTCTGATATCACAGATGATATTTCTGCCTTTGCACGGTATGTTTAAATTGCTCATAAACATGTTATTAACAGCTTATTGGCAGGTCCAAAAAAGATGGGTTCTTATGGGAAGTGAGGTTTTTGCCGTAGGTTTAGGCGTGAATGTGAAAGGGGATGAGGTCTGCTCCTTCGGCACAGCCTGTGCCGGATGGGGGACACACTTGTGCTTCCCAGAGAGCTAGTCTCTCGTCTCCGCGCGCTCTGTCCAGTGGGTGCTCTCCGCTGCCCAGTGTCTTCTTCATGCCTGCTGTTCTGCTCAACATCCATAACTGTGTCCTCTCCCCCCCGTCCCGCCGCTCCAGGGTTCGGCATGACCACCCCGGCCACCAGTGGGGGGAAAGTCTTCCTCATCTTCTACGGCCTGATCGGCTGCGCGGCCACCATCCTCTTCTTCAACCTCTTCCTGGAGCGCATCATCACGCTGCTGGCCTACATCATGCGCTGGTGCCACGAGCAGCAGCTGCGGCGGGCGGGGGGGGCGGCCCCCGGGGGGCCCCGGCGCGGCTCGGGGGCGTCGGGGGGGGAGGTGGACAGCCTGGAGGGGTGGAAGCCCTCCGTCTACTATGTGATGCTGATCCTGGGAGTGGCAGCCGTCCTGATCGCCTGCATCGCCTCGGCCCTCTACACCACCATGGAGGGCTGGGGCTACTTCGACTCTCTCTACTTCTGCTTCGTGGCCTTCAGCACCATCGGCTTCGGCGACCTGGTGAGTGGGCAGAAGGAGAGCTACAGGCACCAGGTGGCCTACCGCCTGGGCAACTTCCTGTTCATCCTGATGGGCGTGTGCTGCATCTACTCGCTCTTCAACGTCATCTCCATCGTCATCAAGCAGACGCTCAACTGGATCCTCCAGAAGGTGGACTGTAGCCGCTGTCGCTGTCGCCGCCGCCGCCGCTGCTGCCCCCCCAGCAAGCGCCCGCTGCACCCCCACGGCCACCACAGCCGCAACGCCGTGCAGCCCGCGCCCCCGGCCAGGAGCCGCCGCGCCGACGTCTCTGTGGAGACGGTGTGCGACAGCGAGACGGACGGGCGCCGCCTCTCGGGGGAGATGATCTCCGTGAAGGACTTCCTGGCCTCCAACAAGGTCTCCCTGGCCATCATGCAGAAGCAGCTGTCCGAGACGGCGCACGGCGGGCCGCGGCAGAGCCACGCCCGGCACAACGGCTTCTCCGGCGGCGTGGGCGCCCTGGCCATCATGAACAACCGGCTGGTGGAGACCAGCGTGGACAGGTAGCTCCGCACCTGCTGGGCTCTCAGCACCCGCGCTCCTCCAGCCGAGACAGCCTGCCCACATCGCTCCCACATTGCCTTCGGATAGAGGAGCCTGGTGCTCCGTCCGGGACTGTGTGGACGCGCTCAGGCAGGAGGCAGGGACTTTGCTCGCTTCCCTGGGAATTTGTTCAGACCGGAGGGCAGATGGAACAGTGTTGTAATCTTCCCCGGGCCTGTAGGGGGATTGGAGCTGCAAAACGTCTCAGGTCCTCCTCCTTTTAGGCATAAAAGAAGTTCTTTCTTGTGCTCATGGGATGTTTTTGGTGTTGCGTGTGGCCTGTGCTGAGCAGGACAGCGACTGACAGGTAATCAGACTGACAATATGTTTACTGACATTAAAGAAGCTTGGACTGGTTGTCAGCTTGTCTCGAGGGGAGATGAGCTGTAGATGAAGGAGCCCCAGCAGGACCTGATGGGGGAACATGAGACATGATTTCACCAGTTCAATTGAAGGGGATCTTTAGGAAGGCCAGATTAGACAAGCGTGGAGTGGAATCTACGCAGGACACTGTGTTTATCAACCCGCTCTTATGAACAGTGCCATGGGATCTTTACTGTCCAAGACTAGCCAAGCACTCAGGACCTCAGTTGAATGTTTTATCTGAAGTACAGTGCCTTGTACAGTACAGTGTCCCCTGGCACCATACTGGAGCATTTGTTAGGAAAAGCAGGTCCAGGAGAAAAAGCGCCACCTACCTGTTGACCACCATCACGTACAACAGCAGCCTTGCTGTGCTTGAGAGGTCTGATGAGGCCAGTCTTCAGGCTGGTAGGCTGACTAGGCTGTCCCGAATATCTGTACGATTGAACCATCTTGCCCTGCTCCTGTCACAGTCACAGGAAAGAGAAACATTTTCCCATTTCCAGCTTTAGTCAGTCTGCGATGTCTTGTTTAAAGCCACCGGGTTTACTACCCCAAGAACACTGACAGTGAGGTGTGTGCAGTGGGGTGGTGGCTGATGAGCAAGGCCGGGTGTCTGGTTGGTGTGTGGAGAAAGGTAGGCGTCCACTTGCAGAGAACAGCCAATCAGTCTTGTTGTTTATGTGCCTTTTCCATGATTCCATGATGATTTTCCAGACTTCCAAGTCTGGAGTGTGGGAGGGATCCCAAGATATTGGAATGTGGGAATCATTTGTGCTGTCTGACAGTCTAAATGTTCAGTATAGTGAGGTCTATAGCTAAGGGGTGAAGGTTTATGAGCACCATCCAAGAGGACTGATTTTAATTAGTGACAGACGTCAGAAAGGCTGGTGGGAGTGGGAAAGTGCTCTTTGCACCATGTGAACTTGACAGTAAAACAGAGTCTTCTCAGACACACGTGAGGATGCCTTTGAAACTGTTCCCCTCTCCAGACTTGTTAATGAGACTTCCTTGAATAGTTCTCTATGATTCACAGTCTCAGCCTCTGGGTGAAGTAACACACCTTGGCTGCAGAGAGAGTATTTTTCTTAAATATATTTGTCATATTATTAAATTTTGGGCCTCCCAGCACTTATGTGTTGTGTAAAGTGTTACATTTTCTGCAGTACGTACAATAAATAATTCTGAACTGTTACTCCCCCCCAGAGTTAGAAGTCTGTGAAATGCAGGCCTTCAAAACTCTGTTTACCCCCAGGAGAAGTCATGTCTGCACACATTAAGAGATTAAAGTTCCGCATCGGGAAATTCTCCAGGCGTAGGCTGTTTCCTGCCTGTGTTACAAACACTCAGAGATGGGCTGAATGATGTCACAGGAGAAGCAATCAGGCTGCCTGTCTGAAGAGCAGTGCTTGTCCGGCTCTTGGTGCTGTTGGCTGATTTCTGAAGAGCCTCCAGATATCACCCCCAGCCTCGCAGAGAGAGGAGGGGGAGTCTGGGTCACCTTTCATTCAGGCGGCATTCATCCTCAGTGTCAGCTGGTCTTGGAGAGCTCTGCTTTGTCCTCGACTCTTTAACCATTTTGCTTGCAGTGAGATTTTCGAAGGACCTCTGTTTTGTATTTTGCTCCCCGTTTTCTCTGTTTCTAACTGACGGCTCCAGCAGCTCCTGTGGAGGAAGCAGACTAGTGCTGCACCAGCTGCGGTGCAGAGAGGCTGTGTCCTCATCCACCCGTGTGTTGGAGTAGGGCGCCCCCCAGCCTTAGGACAGACGCCAAGAGTGCCTCTGTGGGTGTGGAGAGGCGCAGGGAATACTCGTGATGGAATCTCTGCTCAGGAGGCACAGGTCTCAGGGGCAGACTGCCACTGCAAGGAGGGCAGGGGTCTCCAGCCCCAGTCCAGGCGTTCTTAGAGGTCACTCTTAGTCACCTGTTATGAAAAGATGAGGGACACTCGTCTAAGCGACCGATCAATTAATCAAGTCATGTTTCAATGCAGCCAACACTGATCCTCGAGGGCTGAAGAATATTTGATTTGTGTTCCAAATTATCACTAAATTGATTAATTAAATTTAATGATTCAAAGACTGCTGCTGGACTGAGGGACTGAAGCCCCAGGACCAGGGTTGGAGAGACAATTAGGGAACTGGGCTGAGGACTCAGCAGTGGGGTTCACAGCCCTGTGGCTCAGTTCTAGATTGTAACTGTGGCAACCACAGCAAAACCCCAGCGGGGACAGGGTCAGTCATGTGACAGATCCACTCAATCACGGAATATAGAGCCGGTCAAGGAAAACACTCCCGGTGGATGCATGGTTCATGGGTGTGACAGCAGTATACAGACGTGGGCAGGAAACGCACTTGTCTTGTTTGGTGTTTGTTCACCTGAAAGTCAGTTTACGCAGTTCAACCCTTTTCCAGAGCTCTGAGATTGGGGTTCTGGAGACGAGCAGCTGTCCCTCTCCCACGGCTGTGTTCTCCAGCTTCTCCTTTCCTAAACAGGGTAAATAATTGTAGTCAATTAAGGAGGATTATCTCTGCTTCAGTGGAAGTGGGTGTCAGGAGGGTTACGTTGGATAAACACCTGAGGGAAGATTAGAAATTGTTCTGTGGGACTGAATAAACTGTGACCAGCTGGAACTGTCACATTTTGTGACTAATTGAAAACTTCTGCCAAATAAAAGCGATTAATCCACAATTCACTTAAATAACAAAAGAAGAGAAAAATATCTCAAATATATATCTCGTCATGGATAATCCCCCTGGACAAAAACAGGAGCTTGTGGGTGGTGATACTAAGATTCACCCCTTTCAAATACGAAATAAGAAGAGGTCTCTCGCACTGTGACTGAATCAGCCCCCAACCCGATTGATATTAAAACCCTGGATAATGGGAAATGTGAGGTCTCCAGAACCTCAGAAGTTCTTTATTATCATGTGTTACATTTCTTTAAAGATTCTTTGCTCTTATTACTGCCCTTGTCACTATCTTTCTGCCTGCCTAACTTTTCCAGCAAAATCAACCTCTGTGAAGAGCTCCAAAAGCTGCTGGATTTGTAAGGCACATCAAGGAGGTGCAAAGTGGTACTATGAACCCTGCGCAACACTGATTTATCTCCCTGTGCAGTGATCTGAACCCTGCGCAACACTGATTTATCTCCC